GCAGTTATCATGGCAGGAAGCATGGCGGCATGCAGGGAGACACTGAAGAAGTAGCTGAGAAATGAACTCTGAGAGAGAGAGAGACAGAGACAGAGACAGAGAGACAGAGAGAGACAGAGACAGAGACAGAGAGACAGAGACAGAGAGAGACTGACTTTGGGCTTGGCATGGGCTTTTAAAACCTCGACCGCACTTTTAAAACCTCGACTGCAGTGTCACACTTCCTCCAACAAGATCACATCTATTGATCCTTCTAATCCTTTCTAATAGTGCTGCTCCTTGGTGACTAAGTATTCAAATATATGAGCCTATGTGGGTCATTCTTATTCAAACCAACACACCATGGTCCTAGGCCACCATGTGGGTTCTGGGAATCAAACCCAGGTCCTCTGCAAGAGCAGTAAGTGCTCTTAACCACTGAGCCATCTCTCTGATCCCAAATTTTGTATTGATTTTGTGTCCTGCAACTTTGCTGAATTTGTTGGTTCTAACAGCATGTGTGCGTATGTAAAGGTGTTGGAAATTTTCACGTGAGGAAGAAAGCAATGTCTCTCAATTAGTGACGTAGATCTGTCCAGCAGAGACCAGTCCAGAGATGGATGTCGTAGGGACGCTGTGGAGGATGACGTCTCCTAGTCTCTGTAGTAATCTATGTGACTTTAACTTTGGCCGTAAGGCAGTGTCTAGCTAAAGCCTTACAAGTTAGATAATTTTGCTTTCATGTTTAAAAGTTTTTTCATAGTTAAAAAATTAAATTTCAATTATTTATTTAAGTCAGAATGGATGCCTTAGCACAGGTGTGGCCACCAGAGGACAACTTGAGGACGTTGGTTCTTTCTACTACACGGGTCCTGGGGATTGAACTCAGGTCGTCTTGCTTGGTGGCAAGTACCTTTCCCTACTGAACCATCTTGCTGGCCCTCACTTTCACACTTTTTAAATGATTCATTTTAAATGTGTAACGTATTTCCATACTGCAATTTTCAGAAGGTCCAAACAGCTGTCTAGTGAAAAGTTTGTTCCCGGAAAACAGTTTACATCCAGTTGCGGTTTCTTACAATTTCCTCTAGGAAGGACTAAGGACCCACCCTGCATTTAGAAGTACATATGATTTTTATTTCATCTTCACAAACACTGCCCTGTGAGAGACGTTCTCCTGCCTCCTGCTTCCTCTATTTCCTAGCACATCTTGGAGACTGTTTCACAGAACTAACCAAAATTGTTCTCTCTTAATAGCTGCGTAATACTCCATCAGGCATTTATACAATAATGTGTTTGAGGGACATCTAGACTGTTTCCAATTTCTCATATTATAAACAACGAATATTAGGATCTTGAGTGACATTTTGGTAACACAACCCGGCCTAAGAAATCTAACGAGAAATGGCTGTTTATCTTTGGATGGACCCATGTACGAATTCCTCCCCAGATTTCAGTATGGAGGCAGGGTATTGCTTCTCCTGTGACGTTCCAGTTTTTCCCTTTTATGGATTCTGCATTTCCTGTTTTAGATTGCTCACTCTTTGCCTTGGACTGCTGGGGTTTTCAAAGCCAAGTTTATGGGTCACATTAACAACAGTGTAGGACAAGTTACTGCACATTTATGCACTTTCATTATTTCTTTCCTCTGAATTTCTTTTTAGTTTCCAAAGATATCTATTTTATTCCTTGATATTGCATATATTTTTTTCAAGCTGTCCAAAGCACTTTGCATAATGAAGCAGGTATAAACATATACATGCATGAAAATGTCCCCACTTACCCCTACCACCACCACCCCTATACATAAGCAGAACATGAATTAGTAGCAATACCCATAAAGGTGAACTTGACCTCTCTTCTGCCCAGAGTGAAGTACCCACCTCTCTCTCCCATCAGTCTTTTGCAGGATCCCTTGGTATCTATCCAGTGCAGCCTGCCCAGTGGCCTAGGAGCCTGTTTCTGGTTACTTCTGGTCCACCATGGTGCTTCCTGCCCCACCCAAAGTGAAAAGAAACACTGACCTGGAATTCCACAGTCTGTAAAACCTAGAGCTGGGATGCCAAGAGCTGGATGAAGGGGAAGAACGTGCAGGTGCTCATAGGAGCATGGGGGCAGAGCTAGAGACAGAGCCCGGAGGAGGAAAGAGTTCCTGGGGTGTCCTGTCACCAACCCTACTCCCACAGTCAGCCACACACACACACCCCCGCCAGTCATTCCATCCCACCCACCGACATTCTTTCCCCCCAGTGGGAGAAAGCAATTTGCATCCAACCGGCAGGATGAAGATGGATGGAGAGAGCTAGTTTTCTCATCTCACGGAGGCTGCTGTGCACAAGGCATTGGGGGGGGGGGAGCTTTGTTGTGATGTGGTCCCTACAGGCTGAATTCCAGATTTGTGGTTCATCTGCCTTCGAGGTGCCAAGTGAGTAAACAGCTGGACAAGCTGCAGTCTGGGGACCAAAGACACTTAAACCTGACCCGGCTGGCTGCCAGTTCCTGCAGGGTGGGTGTTTCAAGCCTAGGGAGGCAGGCATGGCTCTGTTTTTGCGATATCTGGGGTGGACAAGGGGCATCTGGGCGTTAGCTTGGGGAGTGTTGGAAGATCCTGAGCACTTCTTCCCTGGGGCTTCTCCTTTGGCGTGGAGAACTCTAGGGGAGGGTGGGAGCAGGGTGTAGGGTTCTTTTTAAGAGCTAAGACATTTCCAAGCCTACAGAACAGGCATTCATGTTCCTGGGCCCACAGAACCCTTGAAGGATTAAATAGTGATACATGTGTTTGCCAGTCATCACACTAGATGCCTGACAGGCAGTAGTGATGTATGTGTTGAGTCATGGTGTGTGTGCCAACATTCAATAACAACACACAAAGGAATCTTCACACCGCCTTACCCGTTAATGTCTGTGTTTTCAGAGGAGGAAACTGAGGCTCAGAGACTGAAAGGAAGATGCTCCTGTGCGCAGCTGGTGATTGACAGCATTGGAATCGAACCCAAGTAACTCAGTCCCAGAATCTGGACCCTGGAGTTTTTGACACGTCTGCAAAGAGTCCCAAGTCGTGCCTGATGCCAGAGACATACGCCAAAGGTAAATCGCTGTCACTGGCCTATGAGCCATGGATTCTGGCTTGACCTTGGAGTTGAGCTCTAGGAAGGCTGATTCTATACTAGCCCCGCCCTCCCCCACTTTCCCTTCTTGACAACCCCGTGAGACTCTTTGTCCATGCACCTGTGTCAAAGCATCACATGCATGCTGTAAAGGTATTCAATTTTTGTTTTGTTTTTTGAGGTAAGGTTTCTCTGGGTAGTCCTGGTTGTCCTGGTGCTCTCTTTGTAGACCAGGCTGGCCTCAAACTCACAGAGATCCGCCTGCCTCTGCCTCCCAAGTGCTGAGATTAAAGGCGTGCACCACCACGGCCAGCGTCCTTAAAGTTTGAAAACAGTTAGCTGTAACTTTCCTCCCATCTCCACTAAGGTAACAAGTGTTTGTTTTGTGTGTTTGGGAGGCTTATGTAAAAGCACAGTCTTCTCACTTCTTTCGGTAATTACCAGTCATTTTCTAACCTCATCTAAAAACCAAACCGTCATTGATATCATTCGGCAGGAAGCTAACAAAGACACCATGATCCTGTCTCTCCGCCTCTGCTCTCCCCCTGTGTCGCCCACCCCTCCCGCAGCAGTCAGATGATCTGATCATGGCATTCCCCGCTTGGAGCCCAGTGGGGGTGCCCTCCCATTGCACCACTTCCCTGCCACCCACCCTCCTGCTCTGCACTTCCCTCACCAAAACGGCCTGCTCTCCTAGGCACGAGTCAAACTGTCTCTTGGCTCTGGGTCACTGCTCCTAAGCCTGGGGTGCCCTGTCCTCTCTCTCTTCCTGTGGCTATTTCCTTTCCATCTTTCTGTTCTCATGCAAGCAAGCCTCCTCAGAGGCGTGAGAAGAGGTGACCCAGTGCGTGCAGCGTGTGTGCAGAAAACAAGCCTTTACCACAACATTCTCCGGTCCTGTCCTTCCTGCGCCTGCCCTTCCAGGCTTCGGCCTCTGCTGTAGTTACGCTCACTCCCCTTGTGACTCTCTGTCCAGGAGAGTAGAGGTGCCTTAAGCGCGAGGACTCTGCCTCCCTCGGCTATATATCCACGGCACCTCTTGCCAGCACTCAGTACCTTTTAAACTGGTAAAGCTTATCAGACCAGGCTTATTAATTGCATCTCTCTGTTCTTATAAGCTTACTGAAATTATAAAAATAATGGATATTGATTCTGTTTTAAAGGTTCATTTTTATTATTTTTAATTGCACGTATGTGTGTGCATGGGGCTTTTGAGACAGGATTTCTCTGTGTTGCCCTGGCTGTCCTGGAACTCACTCTGTAGACCAGGCTGGCCTCGAACTCACAGAGATCCGCCCACCTCCCGAGTGCTGGGATTAAAGGTGTGCACCACCACCACGACCACCACCACCACCACCACCCAGCTATATAATGTATCTTGAGCCTATCCATCCCCAACTTCTCCCTCCCACTCTCCCTGACCCCCAACACCATACAATAGGTCCCTTTTCCCACCTTTATGTCCTCTTTTTATTTTCCCCCTGGTAACCCACTATTTCCAGATTTTTTTCATCTTTCAGATGTAAAACTCTGTAACCATTAATCGCCTCCATATTTGCAGTTCTAGCCTACTATTCCTCAGCTGTGTAGTATTCTGCAGTGTCAAAGCCAGTGGATCGCAACCTGTGGGTCACGACCCCTTTGGGGGCGGCTGAATGACCCTTTCACAGGGGTCACCTGAGACCATCGTAAAACACAGATATTTACATTACGATTAGTAACCATAGTAAAATTACAGTTATGAAGGAGCAATGGAAATAATTTTATGGCTGGGTGTCACCACAACAGGAGGGGACTATATAAAGGTTGCAGCATTAGGAAGGTTGAGAAGCTCCAGGCTGATAGCTAACTTGGCTCCTCTCAGTCACATGAAGTCTGTTTCAAGCTTCTCGCTCTTCTACATCCTGCTGCAGTTCCAAGATTAAATTCCCAGAGGGTTCACCTGGCAGTGGAGGTACACACCACTAATCCCAGCCTTCGGGAGGCAGAGGCAGGCGGATCTGTGTGAGTTTGAGGTCAGCCTGACGTACGAGTGAGTTCCAGGTCTATGCAGAGAAACTCTATTTCTGGGGGGAGGGGGGGATGTCCCAGAGGGTTGCGTTCAAAGGGTCTGCATTTACATCTGGCCAAATCGCTGTTCAAACAAGTCCTCCTCACTGCCTCTCCCCCCACTGCAGACTTTTAGCCTGGGTACCCTTTGGGCTTGGTTCTTCCTAGGGTAAGCCAACAAGTAAATATTATGCATCCCAGGGACAAGCAGGACCTGACCTTGAAGGAGCAGTCAGCGGCTGCCTTCAGTGGTGCTTTCCTGGGGAGAAGCCTGGGAGGCAAGTTTGGTGGCAAGCCGGGGGTTGGGGGGTGGAGTGGGGGAATCAAAGCCGCTGGTGTATATACACAGAGGAAGTCTAATTCAAAAGCCATATAATGAGTGGACTTGGGAAGAGGCTTGTTGCTGTGGCAACCTGATTCCCCTGCTGCCAAGAGCAGGCTTTCTTCTTTCTTCTGCACCTGGCAGGGACTCCTTCCCTTCCACATTACTTGGGGAAGAAAGACAGGGTTTGTGCTCTTTGACTGAGGTGAGGCGTGCTTTCTGGCCACATGTCTGTGGCCAACTGTCACTGAGAAAGAGAATGTGATTCCCCTAATTCTCTCACTGGGCGTGGAGCTGGCTGCAACTCATCCCTGATGCAGACCAGAGGCCACCTGGGTGCCTGGACTCAAAGGCTGATGTCCCAGACCATCCACTGACAGGGACTGTCTTTTCTGACTTTCCCCAAAAGTACAGATGGTCCAAGTCCCCTGCGAGATTGTTCTGTCCATGGTCAACAGAAGCATTTCTAGATCTTTCTTTAGGAACGCCAAAGGTCAAAGACTGACAACTTTGCTCAAAAAGACCTTTGAAAACCAGTCTCCCTGGTTCAAAGTCACTCTGACCTGCTTCCTCCGGGCATTCAATCCTGAAAATGCAGATTGGGAAAAAGCTGGGGGAGAACAGGACAGACAATGGACCAAATTAAATCGCCTCTCTCTCTCTCTCTCTCTCTCTCTCTCTCTCTCATTTCTCACCTGTTCTGAGTCAGGCTCTATGCTGGCCACACGATTTAACAGCCCCTAGTTCTTTTAACAGCTCTGTGAAGTGACCACCCTTATTCCCAATTGCTATGTTCATACTGAAAACCGAGGCAGCCGCTGCGTGCAGGCAGAAGTGATTCGCCCCAGATCCTGGGTCTGCCTGGATCTCAAGGTCATGTCCTTGCACTTCACCCACTGTGAGACACGAAGCAGACTGCAGAGGGACTGTCCCTTCTCCTTGATGTGATGGCAGCTACTTATTAAATCTCCCTCTAAGCAACAAAGGCTGGAGAGCCTTGCCCCACCCAGTTCATGGGTCTCCTCCCCCTTCATCTTGCCCCTGCCTCCTACAGTCAGGCAGTGGCTGTGCTGGGGACAACGTGGGCGTGGAGGGCTGACTCCATCCAAACTGTAGGGTCATTGACATTGCTGGCATTCAAACCTCCCAGCAGAAACGTGGGAGATGATGACCCGGCTTGCTCTGCTTCTAGAGTGCCAAGGGCCATGGAGGAATTCAGTGAGCCTAGGCAGGCACCATAACATGATTCTTCTAAACCTCAAATGGACCAGATCCCAGTCTTGCAGCTTCCGGAAACTTCCCTTGGCTGACCTCCTTAATGGGAGCTCTTCTATAGGAAGCCTTTTTTCTGATTGATGGGGATGGGGTGAGGTGGGGTGGGTATGGGGGGGAGGTTTGTTTTTTTGCACCCCGATAAGCCTCTCCGCCGACGCAGCAATCCAAATCAGACCGAATTAGAAAAAGCCCCGGTTTAATGGGTAAAGCATTCCTGGGTGATTCTCTAGCCCCCCAGAGAGGAGACAAGAGACAGAAAAAATACCTGTCTGTTTTGGGGGGGGGCAGTTTAAATACCCTGTGGGAGTGATCTTGAGCATCTCTGGGGGAGGAGCCATGTTTAACAGGCCTTTCTGAGGGGCAGGGTCTGGGCAGAGGGGTGGGGCTTCCACCAGAACATTCCAGACTTTTTGGGTCTATGGGTGCCAGGGTGCCAGGGGCTGAGGTGGAGCTTCCCCCTGAACAGTTAGAGGTAAATGGCAGTATTGACTTGTGCTAGTCAATTTGTCTAAATCTCATCCCAGAGGCAACCACAGCGTGATGCCATCACTCAGGAGAATAGTGACTACTCATGTGGTTACATACCACCTTCCAGGCCCCACCCACAGAGGCTCTCTTCTGGGTGCTGTGCCAGGTCCCTTCAAGGGTGGGTCTCGGAAAGCTGTTCTCTGCTGCCTTTGAGGCACTGGGATGAAGTAGCTTCTGTGTTTCCTGTGACTAATCTGACGCACTGTGAGCCTCTGCCTTGAGGGGCCGGAGTTGGGGAGTGCAAAGAAACCCTCACTTACTGACTGACGAGACTCCAGCATGGTCATTCAAAGAACCCCCCAGGATGACCACGTGTGCTTAAAGGCAGGTGGTTTAGAGTTCTTTGGGTTGGAGGTCCGGCTTAGCCCAGGTCCTCTGTTCTTGCTGGGTGTAGGTAGCGTCTGTCCCAGTATGAGGGTCCTCCGAGGGCTGAGCAGGAAAGAGGGCCAAGGACCCCACTTCTGTCTGTCTCCTCCTCCTCCTCTCCTCCAGTATGAACCTTCCCTAATGCCTGGATTGGCCCCCAGAGGTGCTTGAGACACACATGTGGAACTTTTCGTGACTCTTGTCTCCGTCCCTTCAGGGTCACCCGAGGGCCACCGCCACAGCATCTTGTCAATAGATTTCCTTTCACTCGAAACACACAGACTGGAGCTCGGGAACCCAGCCCACTGGGGAAGGCTGTGGCTCTCTTCCATGAGCCTGAACTATTTAGAGCATCCTTGGCAGGCTGAGTTTGGAAGCTCTTACCTTGCTTCAGACTCAGGACTATTTCGGGGGCTGTTCACAGCTGAGCGCCCATTTCCTCCTTTCTCTGCATCCCTGTTTCCTCAGAAAACGGAGGCCTCTGGCAGGGGAGGAAGAAATGGCAGCGATGGAGTTCATGGGGCAGGTTACAGATGCCCCGTTGCTATGACAAGGCCACGAGGTCCCTTGCAGCCCTGACTTGCTCTGCAGCTGTTAATCCCACCCTTTCAACCTAATTAATATAAACCTGTGTTGTAGTTGTTGTTTTCCAGTGCTGGAGATGGAACCCAGAGTCTAGGGTCCCTTTCTTGCTGGACAGATACTCTATCACAGAGCTATATTCCTAGCTCAGGACTTTGGTATTTTTTGTTTGTTGGTTTGGTTGGTTGGTTGTGATTTTTGTTTGTTTGCTTATTTTTTGCTTGTTTGTTTGTCTTCTCCAGACAGGGTTTCTCTGTGTACTTTTGAAACCTGTCCTGGAACTCACTCTGTAGCCCAGGCTGGCCTTGAACTCACAGAGATCCACCTGCCTCTGCCTCCTGAGTGCTGGGATTAAAGGCATGTGCCACCACTGCCCGGCCGATTGGATGTTTTTTGAGACTGAGTCTTGCTATGTAGCCCATTCAGGTCTTAAACAATTCTTCTCCTAAGAAAGTTTCTTTTTCTTTTGGTTTGCTTGTTTTTTGTTTTGTTTTGTTGTTGTTTTCTTTATCCTTCTTTTCTTTTTTGAGACAGGGTCTCACTATGTAGTCCGAGCTAGCCTGGAACTTGCTCTGTAGACCAGGCTGGCCTCAATCTCACAGAACATCCTCTTTGAACATCCTGAGTCCCAACACACTTTAAGCTTGGGAGGAAATTGACACACAACTCTCAGTACTATCCCAGCACCCCAAAATAAGAACATGGGTAAGATATTCTTGTGAGAGATCAGTAATAGGAAATAAGGTTATCCTGGGTTCCAGAAGCCATCCGGAAGATTACTGACTATGAAGAAGAGCCCATGGGAACTTTAGTTTGTAGCCAAGTGGAGCAGAAGGGGACCAGCTTATTGGGAGGACCGGAGAACTGGAGGAACCTCCCTAGAGGTGCACATTTACTGTCAGAGGAAAAGTGCTAGAGAATGTGTATAGAACAATGGTTTGTTTTCCTCCTCAGGATAAATGGCAAAGGACAGACACCACTGAGTCCACTTGGAGCATTTTGCAAAGTGAGATGATGTGAGCGGGGGAGAGATAGAAAGATCATGAGGACATGAGCTCCGCCATATTTAAGTCTTTGGCGGTGGAGACGGTGTGTGGACAGATGGAAACACTGGACCAAGGGGTCAGAAAGAGAGGGAGAGGGGGCTGGGAGATGACTCAGTGTGTAAAGCCATTTACCACATAACATCTGTAATCCCAGTACTGCCACGGGGATGAGAAGCAGAGGCAGGAGGCTCCCCAGGAGCTTGGGAGCCAGCGAGTGTGGCGCACACAGTGGAAGACAACAAAGGGGCCCTGGGTCAAGCAAGATGGAAATCGAGAGCCGGGCATGCTGCTGCGTTCTTTTAATCTCAGCACTTCTGAGGTGGCAGGGGGATCTCTGAGTTCGAGGCCAGCCTGGTCTACAGAGCAATTTCCAGGACAGCCAGGGTTACCCAGAGAAACCCTGTCTCTAAAAACAAAACAAAAAAGATGGAAGGCAAGAACTGATGTGACAAGGCAAGACAGTGCAGAGGTTCCTCCATCTTGCATCTTGCTGAGGCCATTTTAGGTTTAACTAGAATTTGACCTCCTTGATGGAGAGTCCTTTGGAAAATTACCCATCTCTATTCTAGGAACCCGAGGTCAAGACGCCCCAACTAACATATCTTAGCGTCTGTTAAATTGCCTGCTTGTGCAAACCTTCCCTTCCAGCTAACTGCTTATCCTAGCTTCTGTTAAACTGCTTGCTTAAATCCTCCCTCTGTGGCCGCGTGGTGGTGGTGGTGGTGGTAATGATGGTGGTGGCACACACCTTTAATCTCAGCACTCGAGAGGCAGAGGCAGGTGGATCTCTGTGAGTTTAAGGCCAGCCTGGGCTATAGAGTAAGATCCAGGAAAGGCTCCAAAGCTACACAGAGAAACTCTGTCTCAAAAAATAAAACCAAACCAAAACCTCCCTTTGCAGCTGCTGAGGGACATGCAGGATGTGGTTTTGCCTTTAAAAGCTCCTTGTTCTAAATGCTCAGTACACTTGGGTCCCAAATATCTGAGTGTAGTCCCAGCTCAATGGAATAAAGACTTTCTTTTTTGTTAGTGTTATTTTTGTTTTTGTTTTTTTTTTTTGTTTTTTTTTTGAGACAGAGTTTCTCTGTGTAGTTCTGGCTGTCCTGGAACTCACTCTGAAGAAGACCAGGCCAGCCTTGAACCCAGAGATCTGCCTGCTTCTGCATCTAGAGTTCAAGGATTAAAGGCGTTCACCACCAACACCACCACTACCACCAACTTTAGAAGAAAGACTTTTATTGGCTACAGACTGTGTCTGAGTGGTCATCTTTGGTGGGCTGTCTGTAACACTGACAGCTGAGGTTGTCCCCTGAGATTCACTGTGACACACACATTGCACATATACGCACATCATTTAAACACACATACCCAAAGATCCCTGGCTCAATCCTGAGTTTTTGGGGGAGGGACTTGGGGAGCATTGGCACAGAGGCTGAGAGGTTGACTAATCAGGGAGACAGAGGCCGAGCAGGGGGTAGAGTCTGGGGTAACTTGGGAGCACAATGTCTGAAAGGTGCTCCGGAATTTTGAATTCCCCTCCAGTTCCTTCTGAAGGTATTTCTTAGTTTTTGATGTCTTGATCTTTACTCTATACCCCGATGAAGAACAAGGAAAGAGAGGAGGAGGGAGAAGGGAGGGAGGAAGAAGTCTTGACACCCTCAAGTGGCCCCTGCAGAAGCAGCAGGCGGGGAGCAGCCTGGGCCCAGAGCTTGCAGGCTTCTCCACTGAGAGTGGGGAGAGAGGCCAACTGACCACAGGAGACACCAAGTAAGGTGTGGGAGTCAGGGGAGCTGGTCCTCCGAATCCGTTTCTCTGACAGGCCAGAGCCCTGTCTGCTCTGGGAATGTGGCTGGCTTTCTGGTTTTTCGGCGTTTGTTTCTAGCGTAATCCAGGAGGAGGCAAGATGGAGCCAGCCACATCTCTGAGAAACAAACAACACACTAGCTTGGTTTTCCCCTTTGCAATGAATTGGTTTGCCCCAAGCTGCTGTTAGCACCAGGGAACCCCAGACAAATTGCTTTCTTATTACACCTTGCAAAACAGACCCCAGGAGGGACCCCAAAATACAAGCATCCATCTGAGACATCCCTAGATCCATCCCATGGCTTCGAGTCCCTTCAAGCAGGAGGCTATTGCACAGGTACAGTGACTACCTGCTGGGAAGGCCCCTCCCCTCTTCCCCGCCATTCCTCCCTGGCCCTTAGATCATGGTGGGGGGAGCATCTCTAGCAGGGTGGTCCTTCACAGCCCCTTCCCCTTAGACCTCTCTCTGGTGAGTCCAATCAGTAATGTGATGACTATTTGTGGGGTTATCTTAAGTCTCCATCCCCTCCACCTTCCCCATTGGCAGTCCATAGAGGAGTCCTGCCTGCCCTTGCTCTAGGGACAGGTACCATACCCCATGCTGAACAGGCTCCCCGGGAGCTATTTTAGAAGATTACTCACCATGAAGAAAGGCTCATGGGGAACCTCTGATTTGGGGCCAAGTTAGGAAGATGTTGTGGGTAACCAAGGAACCCACTCATTGGGATTGGCATTAGCAGGCATTGTGGGACTGAATCATGAACCTGGGGTTTATACTATTTCCGGGCAGCGAGTGTCAGAACTGAGTCCAGTTGAACCCAGCATCCTGGGAGGACTGGAGAAACGGTTCCTGGTCTCCTCTTGACCTTTGAGGTTTTTAGCTGACTCTGCAGCCAGTTCTGTGAGCCTATGCTGGGCTTGGCTCTGGGACCAGAGCTTCTGCCTCTGGCCTCTGGAGAGGAGGCATTTCTACACCTTCCACCCCTAATGGCCATGGTAAAATGTGCACACATGTGCACTGAGAGGGCAGAGTCCAGAGTTATCATGGAATCTGCACCACAATAAAGATGACAGTTACCTTCCTAGGCAAAGTCTTCATGGCAATTGCTCATAAGTCCTTGACCTTTCTGTCTGGCTTCCTTGCCCTCTCCTGTTTTCCATGCACACATTCCCTGAACCCTCGCCTCTAATTGCTGAGACCTCACCTGGTAGCACAGCTGTTGCCTTGTGTACCCACCATTCTTCAGGCTGCTTAGGCAGTAGACGTTCCCTTCTCCTTTGGGAACTGCCGCCCACCACACACACACGTAAATAAAAGGAGCAGAAGAGGTGGCTCAGTGGATAAAGCATGAGGACCTGAGTTCGAATCCCCTGGACCTACATAACATTGGCTTAGCAGTATGCATCGGTAACCCCAGTGTTCCTAGGTAAACCAGAAGCAGAGACAGAATATTCGGGGTCCAGCTAGCCTGGTGTGCATAGAGGCAAAACAGCAAGAGACTCTTTTTCAAACAAGATGGAATGGAAGGACTGATACCCAAGATTGTCCTCTGACCTCCACACACGTATGTATGTACACTCACTCACATATATGGATGCAAACACACAAAGATTTAAAAAAATAGGTTGGGGATTTAGCTCAGTAGTAGAGTACTTGCCTAGCAAGTGCAAGGCCCTGGGTTTGGTCCTCAGCTCCGGGAAAAAAATAAATAAAGCACCCCACATCTCATGAATGTGATGAGTAGGCAAACCCCACACATACCACACATATCCACAAAGCACATCACACACACCATCTATATAACATACGTACATAATGTATATCATACACAAGACACACCACACACATCTCTCACCACATAAATCGTACATCATACACACACATTGGGGTCAATGAAATGGTCCCCTGTGAACACGTGACCTATTCTAGCCAATCAGAGGGTCTCATTTCCCTGGGTCTGAGCTTAGGTGAAAGTAGGAAGGCACATCACTCACATGGAGATCCACCTACAATCCCCGCACCGAAGAAGTGGAAATGGGTGGGTGAGGATGCTTAGCCACCTAGCGAATTCAAGGCCAGCCTGGACTGCGTAAGACCCTGTCTCAAAACAAAATAACACTACCTGCCTTGTAGGGAATTAACGAACTTGAACACGATGTTTATGCAGCATTCGGAGCAGTTCCTGGCACACACTCAACAAATGTTTGTCATAACTGCTGATCCCTTCCAAGAACTTGGTGAGACTGTGTGTTCCTTTCTGGAACTCAGAAGAAAATGAACAGGGGGTGGGGGTGGGCAGTGTCTGCAGGAGCGGGGGCAGTGTTTCCTTTTTCACCGTGCCGGGGGAGTGGAGAGACGGTAACCGGTTCCCAGAAAAGGAAGAAGACCGCGGACAAAACAATCAGTGTCCACTTCTAGGGAGGAGCGTTCGCGTTACCAACCGAGCGTTCTAAACTAAGTGCCTGTTCTGTTCGAGGTACTGTGTGAGAGCCGGAAGGGGGGTGGGGGAGGTAGAAAAACCAGCCTCTCTAACCACAGCTGACAAGGGAGAGACAGGGCAATAACTCACAAGTAAGAGAACATCAAGACACATGACACAGCGAGATTAATCAAGTCCTGATGCAGCTAGCGTGCTGCACAATGGATGCAGGGATGACGCTCCGTCTGAGGTCAAGAGGCTGGGACGTGTGCCAGGGAGATGGCTCAGCGGGCCGTGGCATTTCCTGACACCTGGAGTCCAGTCCCTCGAACCCACACGGTGGGGAGAGAGAACCAACTCTCGCAAGGTGTCTTCTGACCTCCACAAGGGAGGGTATTCGTTTGCCCGCCCTCACACACATTCCTATGGATTCGGATGCACATGTATGTACAGGTGGGGATGCACATGTATGTACAGGTCGGGATGCACACGTACGTGGAAGCCCGCAGCTTGGGTCCTCTTCCATCACTTTCCATGTTATATATTGAGCTACAGTCTCCCATGAACCCAGAGCTTGCTGAGTCCTCTAGTCTAAGCTAGCAGACTGCTCTGGGAATCCCATCTCTGGCTCCCTAGCGCGGGAATTACAGATAGGCTGCTGCCACATGTTCCTAGCATTTATGTGTTGCTGGGGACCATCTCTCCAGCCCTGGCATCTAGAGTTTTGTCAACATTTATTTGTTGGTGAGGGAAGGTATGTATATGTATATATAGTGCTTGCCACAGCGCATGTGTGGGGATTATAGGAAACTTTGTGGGGTGTTGGTCTGTCGTACCCTGCGTGGCCTGGGATTGAACTCAGGTTGTCAAGCTTGGTGGCAAGCCCCTTGACCCATGGAGCTGTCCCACAGACCTTTATTTATTTGATTGCTTGATTTGTTTTTTTGGTTTTGTTTGTTTGGTTTTGGTTTTGGTTTTTTATTTGTTTGTTTTTGTTTTGTTTTGAAGCAAGGTTTCTCTGTGTAGTTTTGGTACCTGTTTTGGATCTCTGGATCTCACTCTGTAGACCAGGCTGGCCTTGAACTCACAGAGATCCACCTGGCTCTGCCTCCCGAGTGCTGGGATTAAAGGTGTGCACCACTGCTGCCAGGCAAAAAAAAAAAAAAACATGTCTAAGGCAGGAATGTAGAGCACTTGCCTAGCATGTGCAAGGCTCTGGGTTTGATTCTCCAGTATTTTTTAAAAAAAAAAATTGCACCTGTGGCTGAGACCCAGCTTCCCAGCAGCCAGATGTTGGCTTCTGCTTTAACAATCTTGAACAAAACAAATGTTAGAAAAACATGAAGGCGGCAAGATGATAAAGCTCCTTGCCTGACCTTCTCTGGCCTGGCTGGGAGGAATACTGAGCCCTGCACAAGGAGGATAAAAAGAGTGCCTTCCTTGGCATGAACAGATTTCCTATTGTATGGCTTGTAGCATTTCTCCAGGTTGGCCAGAAGAGAGATTTGGAGGCCCTGGAACAAGGAGAAGAAAAAAGTACAGGACTCAGGTCCAGCATTCATGGCTCAGAAGCAGGGCAGCCTGGCTGAGCCTGGGGAGGAGAAGGCAGGGGAAACCTCCCCATGCCTTGGCACAGGCAGACTGCAGGAATCTCAGTGCCTACCAGCCAGCTCCCATCCTTCCTAATTGTGGTCCCTCACTTCTCCTCCTTCCCCCTGATACCTCAGGCTGAGGCCACCTGTGCAGAGAGCAGGAGCTGCTTGGAGAAGCACTGACACCAGAGGTCACTTGAGCCGCAGCAGGCAGGTGACACCCGGGACCTGGCCATGAACATCCTTAGGGGTTTCTGAGAAGGGATTTGCCTACCTGGCTACTTGCAGTCCTCCCATCTTAGTTAGGGTTTCTATTGCTGTGAAGAGACACCATGACTCTTAGAAAGGAAAACATTTAGGTGAGGTGGTGGCTTACAGTTTCAGGGGTTCAGACCATTATCCTCACGGCAAGACATGGCGGCATGCAGGCAGACCTGGTGCCGGAGCCGAAAGTTCTTACATCTTGACTCAGAGGCAACAGGAAGTGGTCTGTCTCACTGGGCGTGGCTTGAGCATATATGAGACCCCAAAGCCCACCTCCACAGAGACGCACTTCCTCCAACAAGACCACACCCACTCCAATAAGACCACACCTCCTAGTAGTGCCACTCACTTCCTTTGGGGGCCATTTTCTTTCAAGCCACAAAACCATCTCTCCCAAGCTGGAAGTTAAAATTGGTTTATTCAACCTAAATAAAAACCAGAGAAATCTCTAAACATTAGCTTATTGGTGGGTGGGTATACTGGCACACACCTCTAATCCCAGCCCTCAGGAAGCAGAGGCAGGAGGATTTCTGTGTGTTTGAGGAGCTGCATAATGAGACCCTGTCTCAGAGAAACCTATCACAAAAAAAAAAAGAAAGAAAAGAAGTTACACTTTTTCTCTTTTAAAATAGGTTTTATTGAACTTTAGTGTGAGTGTGGTTGTGTGGGTGGTGTGTGTCACGGAGTGCAGGGGCACATATGTGCCACAGTACACACAGGGAGGTCAGAGTCATTTCTCTTCTTCCACTGTGGGTTCTGGGGATTGAACTTGGGTTGGCAGACTTATGGGACAAGATGGTTCACCGAGCCGTCTCACCTGCCCTTTCTCATCCTTAAAGAAGGACTCTTATCCTCCTTCCTAGCCTGAGATGACCACCATTCGTCTTCCCCTCTCAGGAGGTGGCCTTGCCGATAACTAAGTGAGCAGCTTATGCATCCTGTCTCTGACCGTCTGCAAGTCCTGCCCTCTTCGAGCCTTTGAGAGTCAGAGCTGGATGGGCACTTGGGAAAGCCACCCACCACTCTTTAGCTGCTTTGCTTTTCCTGACTTGTTCAGCTCAAGCTACTGGATCTGTTGGAATTTCTGCTGATCACAGGCTTTGGAGGGTGTCTTAGTCACTGACCCCACTCCTGGTATTGACTTCTGTCTTAGTCACTGACCCCACTCCTGGTACCGACTTCTGTCTTAGTCACTGACCCCACTCCTGGTACCGACTTCTGTCTTAGTTACTGTTGGACTGCCATGAAGAGACACCATAACCAAGGCAACTCTTATAAAGGAAAACATTTAATTGAGGGCTTGCTTACAGTTTCAGGGTCTTAGTCCATTGTCATCATGGCAGGAAGTATGTCAGCAGGGAGCATGGTGGCATGCAAGCATGGTGCTCAAGTAGTAGCTAAGAGCTGCATCCTGATCTGTAGGCTGAGAGAGAGAGAGACACTGGGCCTGGTATAGGAGCCTATGGGGGCCATTCTTATTCAAACCACCACAGAGGGCAAAAAGGTTTGGGAGAAATTCATGGTTCCCCATCCATATGCTCAATTTGTGTGAGGGTTGTATATGTATGCATGTGCATGTATGGGTGAGTTGCATGTATGTAAGCAGCTGGCTGGGCAGCAAGCTCCAGCAATCTGCCTGTCCCTGTCACCAGGATTTTACATGTGCATAGCCACACCCCGCTTTTTACGTGAGTGCTGGGACTCAAACTCGGGTTTTTATGCTAACTGAACTATCTCCCTGACCCTAAAATAAAAAAAAAAAAAATTAATTGTGTTTATGTATTTATGTGTGAGCATGTGTCTTGGGGGCACGTGCATGCCACGGTATGCATGTGGAGGTCAGAGAACAACTTATAAGAGGAGGTTCTCTCCTTCTGCCAGATGGTTCCCCAAGATTGAACTCAAGTCAACAAGCTTGATGGAAAGTCCCTTTACCCTCTGAGTCCTCTGACAGGCCCTAGTCAATTTTGTAAAAAAGGCCCTACTCGATTTTGTAAATAAAAGGCGAGAATCTCATTAAACTGCAGAAGACAAAGAATTGAGGGGTTTTTTTTTTAAATCTACTTTTTCCTAGTAACAAGGCATTCAGAACCAATTATTACTAATTTAGTTTAGTAAAATATCATTCTAACAATAACAAAAGAACAACCCAATTAAAAAAGAAATGGACAAAAGACTTGAAGACAATTTCTCCAGAGAAGCTATACAAATGAAGACTGAGCAGATAAAGGTATGCTCAACATCACTAACGACGGGGGAGCAAAGACCGATTCACAGCTATTTGAACAGATTTCATTTAAGGGAAGAAGAGGAGAAGGGAAGAAACAAAGCCGGTGTAAGGGAGCGGAGAACTGGATCCCTTGTATGATGCTCATGAGAATGTAAAACGATGCAGTAGCCGCAGGAAGTAGTTTGGCCGACCTTCAAAACGTTAAACATAGAACTGCCCTAAGACCCCACGGTTTCACCTCTGGGTATATATACCAAAGGGGCTAAGAGCCCCGACTCCAACAGTTACCACAGACGTGTTGGCAGCAGCATTCTCTACCCGCAATAGCCGAGTGACGGTGACATCGAGTATCCTTCGGTCACTGTAGATAAACACGGTGTGGTGACTACATGCAGGAGAACAGCGTTCAGCCTTAAGGATTCTAGCATCTACAGCAATATCAATGGACTTTAAGGACAGCCCACCAAGAGAAATAAGCCAATTACAAATCACGGATAAATAGCATGTCCTTCCATTGTAGGAGCTGCTTAGAATAGTCACATTCATGGAATGGTGATGTCCAGGAGCTGGAGGCACGAGAGAACAAAATAAGTTCATATTTGTTCATTTTGTGTGCGTGCATGTGTGCGTGTGGGCGCAAATGGAAGTCAGGGGACAAACTTAGTGTTGTTCCTTAGGAACCGTCCATGCTTATGCATTTTTATTTTCATGTTTTTACATATATTTATTGCTGTGTGCGTAGAAAGCACCTTTATCCACTAAGCCATCTCACCTGTCCCACCCTAGCTTTGGAGATGGAGTCTCTCACTGGCCTGGAGCTCACTGATTAGGCTAAACCAGCTGGCCAGTGAGCCCCGGGCACTCTCCTCTCTGCCTCCCCAGCATTCGGACTACGTGGATTCGAGGCTCGAACTCCGGTCCTTGTGCTCGCGCGGCAAACCCTCTACTGACTGAGCCGTCCTCCCAGCCTGAGTTAGTATTTAACTGGAGCTTTGGTTTGGGATGATGAATATTCTGAAGGTGGATGGTGGTGACGGCTGTGCAATAATGTGATTGTACTCAGTGCTACCAAACCATACATTTAAAATGGCCAAAGTCAGCTAGGTGGTGGTGGCATGTGCCTTTAATCCCGATGCTCAGGAGGCAGAGGCAGGGGGATCACTGAGTTTGGAGGCCATCCTGTTCTGCACAGTGAGTTCCAGGGCAGTGAATTTTTCCAGCCAGAGAAACCCTGTCTGGAAAAACAAAACAAAAGCACAAAACCAAACCAAAAGGTCAAAGGCCAAAGTAGCAAAGTATACATTTTACTACCATTTAAAAAACAAATCCAAAGGCAAATATGAAAGGGTGGGAACGTTGCAGCTGGTCGTACAAACCCTAATGCCTGAAGTTCAATTCCCAGAACCTGCCGTGGAAAGAGAAAACCAAAAGATGTCCTCGGACCTCCACACACATAGGTATGTACATGGACACACACACGCACACACAAAATAATAATAAAATTAATAGTAGATGATGCATAAAACAAAAGAGTAGCTGCTAGTCCTGTTGCATGGTTTCTTGCTGTCTGCTGCAGGTCCCTGCAGAGGGCCTTCCGGGTGGCTTGGCTGTGGAATTCCTCTACCGAGGAGAATTTTAGGCAGGTCATCCTCACAATTGGAGAGGAGATGCTTCCGGAGGAGAGTTACAGCAGCCCTGTAGAATGTTCACTGGGGTTGGGGAGATGACGGGGTGAGGTCCCTGAGACAGGCTAGCTGTCAGAGGTTGTGGGGTGGAGAGGAAGTGGAGATATCAATAGTCTTCATGCTTCTCCAAACTCTCTGCGTCTTCGGGTGCCCGCCCTTGGGCGGGCCAAGTCCTGAGTTGAAAGGAGACAGTGAAGTCACACTCATTCCTTGAACCTGCCCGATAGTCTTCCCCGGAATCCTCCACTCCCACCGACAACGTCAGCAAGCTAACCCTGATTTGTGAACGTCGTCCTGTGCTTTTCCCTTTTCCTCTGCTTCCTCCTCATCTTCCTCCTCTCTTCCTTGTCTCCTCCTTTTCACAAAACGTCTTACAGTTATAGCCCAGGCTGACTTCAAACTCAGGATCTTCCTGCTTCAGCCTCCTAAATGCTGGAATTCTGGGTGTGTGCTCCCACACCTGGCTGCTGGAGTTCGCCCTTACCCAGTGATATAGCTCAGGAGCTGCCCGGGTTACTGATGAAGGCAGGGAGATGGGAGTTGGGGACAGTCTCCACACTCCCACCTCTCTCAGCCTTCCCGACACCCTCCTCTGTGCTGTCCCCTGGTCCCAGATCACTCCCCCTCTCCTGCCCTTTCTCCTGTTCACATCACCACCCGCTCACTCTCCGAGCTCAGCATACTCCACTTCCATTTCAGTCTCTTCACTGTGGATTAACAGCCCGACCGACCGACGGAGGAAGGCCCTTCCTCGGAGCTTCTGAGTTGCCCACCCTTGTTGGCTGTCGGCTCTTTCGCACATATTCCTAGGAAAGGCTGTCTCACCTGTTTCCCAGTTTCCTTGGAAGGCTATGGTGTGCAGCTCATGGGAAACCTCTTCATAGACACGCTAGGTTTGAGGAAGCCTCCTTCTCCACTGGTGGGGTAGAGCTGCTTCTCCTAGGAGTTACCTTAAAGCTTCTGGAAGACTCTTTTTTCCTTAGTCAGGGCCTTGTAGCTCAGGGTTGCTTTGAACTCCTTTTTTGTTTGTTTGTTTTAACAGAATAATTTTTTTTTATTACTTGACAATTTCATACATGTAAGCAATGCACCTTGGCCATATGCACCCCCAAACTCACCCTCCTGTTCCCCCAGGCACCCCAGCAGCATGTCCCCCTTATTTTCCTCTCCTTTTCTGTTGTTAATACAACCCACTGGGTGCGACTAATGCTGCCTGTTGGAATCCTGATGGGCCTTGTGAACCTGATCTTACGGGGTGATCACAGCTGCTGTGAGTTCACGGGTACAATGACCATGTCATGTCCCCAAGACAGCATTTCCCAGCGTCCCTCCCCATCCTCTGGTTCTTCCTTTTCTCTCCACCCCCCTTTCACAGTTGAACTCCTTTTTTTCTTTGAACTTTATTATTACTGCGCCGGATGTGGATGTGGGGTGTGGAGGACAACTTGGTGGGGTCAGCTCTCTCCTTCCACATTTTCCTGACCAGATGTGTGCAGCCAGCCCTTTACCCAACTGTGCCCCACCCCGCCCGTCCCCTGCCTTGAACTCGCTTCAATCCTCCTGCTTCAGTTTCCCTGATGCTGGGGTTACACACACAGGTGCCACCACGTCCACTTTCCCCCGAGAATCTTATTTTTTCCCCACTGGACTTGCACCTAAACTAGACTTGAAGCTTACCTAGGGGGGCTGAGACCCTGCTGTTAAGAGGAAGGAGCGCTAACCTCAGGTCAGGAAATACTGCTACTCCCCGGCACCTGGGGAGGCTGCCGGAAGTACTCCAAGTGGCTGCTACCGCAACTCTGCAGTGAACAGTGACCGGCGAAGAGAGGATCAGCCTCCAGGCTGCCTCTGGACAAGCTGCTCCCACTCTCTCGTTACCATCTGCCCAGCACCACACTGACACCTCCCGCGGCCTCTTGATGACAGAGCTGAGAAGCAGCAGCCATGACTGCCTCCCAGCGGCCTGAGCAGCCATCTGCTTTTAAGGTGCCCAGCAGCTCTGAGCTGCAGCAAGCAGAGACTAGCTCAGACTTCACCCCCCCAAGAGCCAGACCTGCAGCTGGTGACTCAGCATGAGGCAGAGGAGGAGAGGGGTCTGGGGGAGTCACACGGGGTGGGGGGAGTAGAAACTGGGGGCCCAAGGAGGCAGCATTGATGATAACAGGAGTCTAAGCCAGGCTGCTGAGTCCAGCAGCAATTCTGCAATCGAATGAATTCACAGTAATTCCATTAATGTCACTAACTCCTCTCTCTGGGTTTAGAAAAACAAATCCCTTACTTCAGGCTCCCTAAAGATGCAGCCCCAAACAAGATGCGAATACTATACTCACACGACCCCCCCCCTTTCCTTGTATAGGACTCACCCCACCCCCAAAGCCCAAGCAATTCCGCAGGAGCCTCCAGAATGAGTGGGTTGAGATTTGCCTTTATTTCGTTTTGATTTGGGAGTGGAAGGCTGAAGCATAAAGGTGATGCCGACACATCAGGCACTGGAGTGACCCCTTGCACATGCAGAATACACAGATGTTCACTCGGGATCAGCCGTGGACTGACAGCCCTTCAAAGAGAAGGTCCCTGTCACCGTGAAAGCCTCTTACCCTCATTTTTATTACTTTCAAGATCCATAGCCACCCCAGCTTGCCTGGCCTTTCTCCGCTATTAGATCTTTCCACACCCTGGGCTCTTTTGTTTTTTAAACTCCCCGTGGGCTCAGAGCCTCACCCCAGTGTAAACATGCATCCCCTGGAGAGAAAGTGAAACCCACACAGGTTGCTGGAGCTAAGGCAGCATGCTTCATAGGTGATCCACCCGCGTGGAAGAAAGGCTGCCTTTTTTTCACACCAATGAGAGATGGGAGGGAGTGTTCAGCTTGTATGTCACAGTATGACCCTGGCCCCGCCGGTTCAGCTAGGCACCTTCAACCTCTTCCCCTTGGGAAAAAGACACCTGTGAGCTAACAACGAGAGCTCCCTGGGGACCAGTCAAACCACCATTGTCCTCTTGCTCTGCCAAGAGGATGTCTGAGGTTTGAAGCCTCCCCCCAAAAAAACCTGGCTGCAAGCCTCCCTAGCAATTTATGGGCCCCATGGAATGTGGTTGCTCCATGCCCCCAGCCTCCAGCCTCCCTGCATTCTCCCAGGGTAGCCATTCTCAGTATCTCTCCCCATGGTTGGATGTGGTGACCTGCCTTGGAGGGTGACAGGGGAAGGTGTCAGGTGCCTTTGCTCTCTGTCCTCTCCTCGTCAGCTGTCTGAGCATTGCTGACCGTGCGAAGCTGCCCCGGGGCCGCAGGCTTCACCGACAAGACCAAGCGTTTTCGAAAGGTCTCACAGAGTACTATGTACACAAAGGGATTGAGACAGCTGTTGGCGTAGCCCAAGCTGATGGCCGCGTTGTACAAGTAGACAAAGGTGAGCGTGGGGCGGCTGATGGACAGCTGGGTCAGCTGCAGCACGTAGTAGGGTGCCCAGCACACAAAGAACACCAGGCAGATGGCGATGGCGGTGCGCGTCACCCTCTTGGTCCGAAGCCGGATGCTGCGCTGCGAGGCTGGGGCCACTGAGGACGTCATGCGCTGCAGTATTTTCACGTACGCGGCGGTGATGACCACAAAGGGTAGGGCGAAGGCCAGGAAAAACTGGTAGAGAGTAAACCAGTAGAGGTCAGTGTCTGGGTTGGGCAGGCGGATGCCACAGCCCACAGCACCCCCTGGGAATGGGATGAGCCTGGCATACAGCCACACTGGGGTGATGCTGACGAAAGAGAGAGCCCACAAGAGGCAGATCACCAGGGTGGCCATGGAGGGCTTCCGGAATTTGGTGGAGGAGATGGGGTGGACCGTGGCCAAGTAGCGGTCGATGGCCATGGCGGTCAGGATGTAGGTGCTGGTGAACTGACTGTTGGCATCCATGGCTGTGATGAGGGTGCACATGGTTTCCCCAAAGTGCCAGACCCCATTGCCCATGAGCTGATGGATCATGAAAGGCATGCCCAGGAGGAAGAGCAGATCCACCACAGAGAGGTTAATGATGAAGATGTCCGGGACGTTGCTGCACCAATGTAGCTTGGACCTCTTCACCACGGCGAAGATGACTGTGGAGTTTCCCACAATGCCCAGCAGGCAGATGGTGCCAAACACGGAAGGCATAATGATGTTGATGTAGGAGACGCTCCCTTTGCGAGGAGGTGACCCTGAGGACAGAAGGAGCACGTGTGAACTGCCATCTGCTCTGGAAGCTGACAACCTGCCCTCCCCCCCTGCTGACCTCTCAGGATCCCTACTTCAGCTTAAGGTCACTGTGCATCATCTCTGCCGTCCTCCCTCCCACGCTATTGTTAATTCTGTTCCTTACTCTCCTCCACTGCTTCCTGGTGAATACTCCTACCGAATTTTCTAGACCCACCTGTTACCCAAAGGACCTTCACTTCAGCTCAGAGGGCCAGGAGTCAAGACTCCCAGATGTCTGCTGAAAACAACTTCACATCCCTGGGATTCACCAGGAAACCTTGTCAAAAAAACCTTGAAGGACATTCAAGAATGCACGTGTGTGTGTGTGTGTGTGTGTGTGTGTGTGTGTGTGTGTGTGTCTGTCTGTGTGTGAGTGAGTGTGTGTGTGTGTGTGGTGTTTTTCTTGTTTGTACTCTCATCTTTTCAGAGATAGCTGACCAAAGGGTTTATACAGATTCCTAGGCATATCTAAGGAATGACTGTGTCACTATGGGTGTGGGGTGTGTTTTAGGTTCAACAGCCCAGCCCTCTCCCGACGTCCTGATGGGGATTTCCGTGGGCCACGTCTCCTGAGCCTGGGCTTCCCCAGCAGGGCTCAGACTGTGTTATACCCCAGAAGCTTGAGAATTTTCTCCACACAAGCCCTTCCCCTTCCCCTTCCTCCCCTTCTCCTTCAAAGCTAGAATTTCAGGGCATTGCCGTTCTGCAAATGTCAAGAAGCTTAATTCACCAGAAAAGTTAATCCTCTCACGCCCTGTGAAGTCTTTTGCTCCCAGCAGCCTCTGCCAGAGGACAGCCAGGACCACTCAGACCCCATTACCCCAGTGCGAAGCCAGAGGATTCAGCCCAGGGTAGCGGTGAATCAAAGAGCTTCCGCTGGCTCCCACATGCTACCCGCCCGCTCTCTTGCTTGCTTTTCCAGCCTTGATTTTTCTCCCCCATGCAAAGCCTATTTGGGACTCATCAGCAGGCTTTCCCCTGTCTGCCTCACGCCTCGACACCAACCCTTGCTTTTTCTAGATAGATGTGCCTCTGCCCCGTCTCTATTCCTCCCTAACCCTGCTGTCCTAGCTGGTATCTGCTCCTCTCCTCTTCTCCTCCAGGCAAAGCAGACTGCAGATCTTATCACCGAGAGCTGTAAGTTAAAGTTTCCTAAGCAGTTTGGCTCTGGAGGTGAAACCTTCCCATTTTCCACACCCATCCTGGAGGAGGGAGGACTCTAACTCCCGACTCACCGGCCACTGTGAGATTATCCTGGCCATCGGAGATGTTGCTGGCATTGGGGCCAGTGGACAGCAACGAGGCTTGCAGATCCATGCAGCCGGTGCAGGTCGCCTGCTCCCTGGAGTTGAGCGTCCGTCCACCCACGCAGGCTGCGGCAGCCTCCAGTGCCTGCCACCGCCTTGTCCCGAACGTGAGCCAGCCCTGCAGTCCAGAAAAGGGTCTTCCTCTACCGCCTGGCAGCCTCTGCTGCCTCTGAGCCCAACTGCTCCCCCACTCCCTCCTTCCCAGCTCCCACTGACATCACCTAGACACATTAACATTCGGAGGCAGATGCACGTTAACCTCTTCGGTCCCGGCTGCGGCTCCCACTCCTGACTGCCTGCCGAGCAGCCGCGAGGCTCAAGCAGCCCCATGCGGAACAGCCTTTCTTCTCACTGGCTCCTGGGGCTGTCTCCTGAGCTCACAGGGGTTGCCAAGCTCGCTTTACAGGAACCTCCAAGTCTCAGCAAGGGCAAAAGGGGGAAGCAACCGGCTGCCTACCCTGAGGAAGCTGGACCATGTGGCAGGGGTCAGGGGTACCGTTCCCAGTGCTGGGGACTCAGGGGCTAAGACTGAAGCACCCTTGGTCCTCAAGCACATTAGAGGTCACCTTAGACCCTTCCTGTGTCCTGGTAACTTCCAAACATCTCCTTGACTAGGTGGCGATTTCTAGCCCTTGCCTGGTGGGCCAAGGTGATTCTGGGCTTTCCATGCTGGCAATACTCAGGGTCTGGGGTACAGAAAGACCAAACTTCCCTCTATGCAGCTTCAGTCTGGACCAGTTATGGAGGTTTTATTTCCTAGTGCTCTGAGATCTTTGAGGTTTTGTCTGGGACTCTGAGACAATTATCAAAGCGTAAGAGAATAAGTCCACACTGAGATTAGCAATGGGCAGCAGCCTCCGCATGCACAGGCCTTAGGGAATTTTCTGCAGAGGTCCCTGCTGCCAGCTCCAGGAGAGTCATAATAAACCGCAGTCACCACACCAGGACCAGATGCAGAGACTGACTCCTTGGCTGCCATGGTTGCCTGTTGACCCTTATTAATGGACACAGAGGCACAGAGAGAAACCCCTACAGCTCCCTTGAGTTCCAGCCATTCTCTTCCTTTGGACATTGGACATTAGCATGCCTAGTTCTTCAGGCTAAGCTGTTGTTCATCCCTACCAGCTATTACAGCGCCTCTTTCTTGGCCTCTTGGTTCACCAGCATGAAGAGCTTAACCAAAGCCGGACAGGGGCTGAGGATGTACAGCTCATTTATTTGGTAGAGTGCTTGTCTCACAGGCAGAAGCCCAGGGTTCCCTCCCCTGCACTCATAAAACGGACATGGTGCATGCCACCAATTCCAGCACTTAGGAGGCAGAGGCAGGAGGGTCAGAATGTCAGGGCCTGCTCCCCCTCATCCCCACCCCACCCCCCACAAAATCAGATGGTGGTTTAGCCACAGCTGCAGTGGATGGTTAGTACATCTCTGG